TTTATTTTCATCTAGAAAATGGGACTATTGCCACTTATCCTACAAGACAGTGGTTGAAAAGTATCTACATGGTCCAATGCTGACACTGATAGTAATGGATTCCCTCTTGGATAGTGGTGGGGCTGGGGTTTGAAGCCTGGCAATTTGCCTCCAGAGCTGTCCTCCTAACAGCTGTACTACAGTTAGGTCATTGGCTGGATGCATGGATGTATCAGTTCTCTGTTGCCATGATGGTGCTGCCTAACAAACCAGTTGAAACCTCAGTGGCATGTTCCAGAAGACACCTTGTTTGTGAGTCTGCAGACTGGCTGGGCTGGCCCGCTGCTCTGCACTGGGCTTGGGAGGGCCCGTCCCAGGCCTGTGTTGGCTGTGAGCAGGCCTGGTGGCTTGCTGATCTTGGCTGGGCTCTCCCACGTGTTTGGGGCCTCAGCTGGTGACTTTGAAAGCAGAAGGTTCAGCATCTTCACACTTTCTAAAGCTTGGCTGTGCTTTTTCTGCGAAGTTTCTTGTGTTGGCTGGATGACTTGGTGAGCTTTGTCCCGTTCCTGCGGTGCTGATCACTTCAGTGACGCTGGTTTGAGATGCCGATGGCAGACGGAGGAAGTGCACTAGAGTGTTGCACTAGAATGCTTTTTGCATGCAGTGTTTGAGTGGCATGTAGAACTTCCTGGTGAATTTAACCCTGCTGTGAATTTAGTGTTTTGAGTTAAAAGCTTAGGTATGCTCTTTTCATTCACTGGCCCCTGTTTTGTTTTAAGGTGGATGTTTGGGCTCAGATTGCTTGTGTTGAAAGTCTCAGCCAGTCACCACCTTCTTCACCTTCTCCTTCTCCTTCTCCTTCCATGCATAAGGTAAAATCAAACGTGATTGCACAAAGAAAGAAATCACTCAGTAACCCCTGCAGTTAATCTTTTCTCCCAAATGAGGTGACTGTTGCAGGTGAGGCATCGTACCCAGGCTGTTCTTAGCCTGGTGACACAGAATGTGGGATATACAAGAACTGGGAAGGTCCTGGGGGTTTCTGTCCCAGAAGGCCTTGAGTTGCAGCCTTCACTGAGACTGGGTGAATGTATGACCTGAGCGGTGAGGACTGCAGAAGGGTTTTAATTAGGCGTGATTGACTGCGAGTCAGGAGATGTTTGGTAACATAAAGGCTAGGAAATGATGAGGGTGAAGACATTGGCCAGTAGGAATGAGAGAGGAGGGGAATGTGGGAGGAATGCATAGTTGAGCCCTTGGTAGCAGAGTAGAGTGGGTCACTGTCTGTCCAGGTGTCTGCAGTGAAGGGACCCAAGAGAAGAAGTCAGAGGCCAGAGGGTTGTTGGAGATCATTGTAGCATTTGGTATAATGGGATGAGGTATTGGAGAAACCAAGGTCTCAGCATTTAATGCACAGAAAACATGCTGAGAACCCTGGGAAGTAGGAGATGCCACTGGACTTCACGGGGAAACCTCTTCTGCCTTTCTTCTGTGTATCTGAAGGAAACAGACCTTTGGGTAGGATGGAAGCTATCCTAAGCATCTGTTATCATCTCTTTACGAATTGACCTGGAATTGAAACGTGTCTGACCTCTTCCTTCATAGCACAGACTGACAGGTGTGCCTGATACTCAGGTGGGACTCTGTCCAAGTCAGAGTCTTCATAGTTTTCCTTACGTTTTAGATGCACTCCCATGCAAGCACATAGCCTTACTTAAAGCACACACTGTGCCAGGTATGGTGTCATTGAAACCTTACAAGACCCCTATGAGGAAGGTAGTGTTTTTAGGCCCAGTTTACAGGTGTGGAAACAGACGGAGGCCTGGAGGTGAAGTTCATCGCCTCAGTTCACACAGCTGAGTAGTAGAGCTGGGATGCAAACCCAGATGGGCTCCAGAGCTGAAGTTCTTTATCCGCAAACCCACGGGAAGGTGATTCGATTCAAGTTCCAACAGGTTCCTAAAAACGTTTAGAATATACCCAGGGGACCATTGTTCTTTTCCTTGCCCCCTTCTACCCCGTGTGATATGTTGGTGAGATGTGCAGCTCTCCAGAAGTTACTGTCCAGTGGACCAGCCTTCGGTTCCTTTTTGGTTCACTTAATTGGTTTCTAGCAGGCTTTCTGAAGTGGTGTCAGGCTGCCAGAGTTTCAGTCCTAGCCTGTGGTGACACAGCTGAAAAGTACTGGATCCTCGGGGCCTTTCCTCATAGCACAGGCCCTCCCCTCACTGTGCGCCCCTTCGACTGCGCCCTCACAGTGCGGTCCTCTGCCTTTCCCCACTGACTGAGCCCCCATGAGCCCTTTCACCATGGGCTCTACTAATTTGGGGTTCAGGAAAATCCTACTGACTCCCCTGGTCTGTGCTTGCCATCCAGAACATCCGTAGTTTCAAAGTTTTTACTCTGAAAATAAGACCTCCTCGTTTAGAGGGCACAGAGTGTGTGTGTTGCTGAGTAAAACTGCCTTAGAGGAAGCTGTGGAAGGGAGGGATTCCACTCCTAAATGAGGGGTCTAGTCAGGCCAGTGCCCCAGCACCCTCATTCCTGACGTTGAGTTCGTCTCAGCGGAGCTCAGTGTCACTTTGTCAGCTCTGGATGTGCGGATACACCTCATGGGATGAACTGTCTTCCTCCTCTTAATATTTAACAAAGTAAAATCACTAGCAACTGCATTTTTTTTCCCCTCAAAGGTATGAGAGATACTAGAATGGAATCATACTTCCGTACATAAAACATACACTTCTTTTGGACGCATCTGAGATGTGATGATCACACTCCTGTAATAGCCGCCATGATGTCGTGAAACACGAGGGTGTGTCAGTGCGGATGATTTCTTGCAAATCACTGTCTCTCTCTCTTTTTTTTTTTTTACTATGAGAAAGAAGACTTGACTACAGGTGCACTTGCTATCCGTGCTCTTGGAGAAACAGGTTCAATATTATAATCATGGAAGAAAGACACTGAGTTTTCTTTGAGTTTATTTGTAAAAATTAAAGTGATTCAAATGAAAATACAACACATTTTAAAATTTGCTGTTCTAATACTAACGTTCAGATGATCTAGTTTAAGAGTCCAAAAATAGGCCCAAATTTCATACGTTGTAAAGGTGACCTTCCAGATGTGTGTGGAAATGATGAGTTGTTCAGGCAGTGGTGTCCGGATGAGAGGCTGGCCACAGGAGAAACCTAAGCTGGTCCCCACGTCATTTCTTATGGTGAAGTAAATTCCAGACATACCAAAGATTTAAATGTGACATAAGTCAAGCAAGCAACCAAAATCAAGAGCGGTGGTTGCCTTGGGCAGGGGCCACTTGGCAGGGAAACTGGGAGGCTCTGGAGCAGATTGAGAGGCAAGGCCCTCTCCTGCAGGCCTTTTGAATCAGGCCACGGGTGCCGTGTACTGCCTGTCCTCAAATGTTATTTATAATATGAGTAATGAAACTATTACATTAGTGGCAGGGATAATGAAGGGAAAATAGAGATGTCCCCCTTTGTGCAAGACACATAAAAAGAAAACCAGTGTGGCCGAGGGAGTGAGGAGCGTAACTGAGCAGGATCTTTGGAAGACACTGAACAGAACCCATCGGTGTAATGTGGTCACCTTAGCCCAGCGGCTTCTCTTCTGGGCACTTGAG